CACAAAAAAAAATCATATGTTATATTTAATTTTTTTTATATTTTTATCATTATTATTATTTTTTTTATTCTTGTTATTTTTTATTTTTATTTTTTTATTCTAATTATTTTATATTTTCATTTTATATTTTTATTATTATAATTATTATAATTTTTATTTTGTTATTATTATTTATTTTTATGTACATATGTATATACTTTCATTGCATTATCAGCTATTAGCTGGATATTAACTGTTTATGCTTTGTCTAAAGCACACTCCTCTCTTCTCATCGTACCCTTTCTTTTTACATTATATATGCACTCATATGTGCATGTTATATTAGCAGTACGTTGTCCGACTATCTCAGTTTTATTTATTTCCTTCTTTGTTGTTATTGTTCGCCTTTTATGTTCGTTATTGAATATTGGGTTTTGGTTAAATCTTTCCCTACTTTTTGATTGCCTTTTTTTTGTGTTTACCTTCACTGATTATACGCGCACACACTGTATTACTTACAGTTGCTATGTGGGTAAGTGTTGTTGTTTTTAATTTTTCGGTTGCTGCAGTGCATCGAGTGTCGATTTTGAGAGACACAGACACGAGGCGCGCACAAGAATGCTGGCGATAAGGTGTGCAGTAAGCGGTTGTGTCATTAACCTTTTCAGGTATTCAGCAGATGTAAACACAGCGGTGGCAAGCAATATTAGTAAAATTCTTCTTCTCTAATTTCTAAAGGCGATACTGTTTTCTTTTTTTTTTTTTGTTTGGTAATTTCTTTGACAAGTCTCACTACTTGGCGCAAGTTGTTATAAATATATATTTTTATGTATATATATTATATGTATGTATGTTTTTCATTGTTATTTTCCGTTTGTAATATGTTTAATATTGAGGTTAAGCTAAGATTTTTCTTCTTCTTTTTTTTTGGTTTGGTTTGAGTAGCAGCTTAATAAATCAATACTCAGCAGGCTTCGAACGCATGAATTCTCTTGGGGTTCATATGAGCAAAATAAGAATTATTTTTTTTTTTTATATTTATATTTTAAGGAGTGTGATATGAAAGGCGGTCATGTGCCGAAATGGCTGGGAGAAATAAATCAGTGTTTGGCATAAAAAGAAAATACATCCAAATTTGACTCTTTGCGGGTTGTGGGTTCAAGAATTTTGATCGCGGTAAGGCATGCGCGTCGTAAGAGGTGACTAAGATCCAATAGTTTACGCGACAATCGGGTCTTTATACTGGAACTAACTGGATTTATATCCGATCAAGGACTGTCAACCACGTAAGATTTTCCGAAAACCAATTTGGGAAATATTTTTATTGTTTTTACAACAACAACAATAATATAGTGTTTTATATCTAAAACTATGCTCTTTACATTACTCTTTTTCCTCTTTTTCCGGGCTGTTAAGGACCCTCCGATGTTGACCTATAGTTATTTTGGCAAGCTTCACTATGGTGACCAAGGTCGCTTTTATGCCAATCTTCGTGCAACTTGATTGGAGAGCTCAACTTTCAATTAAAAAAAAGGTAAAAAAAGTCTAAGCTCGAGCAAATTTAGTCTCTACCTCGAGTCGTACATGATAACAACAACAACATTCATATTACTTTGACTTCCCCTCACATACTAGTTTTTACTTTCACTGCGCACAGTTCTATAAAAACTTTTCCATCTTTGCCTACTTTTGCACAAATTCACTTTTTCGAGAGACTCAATTATATCATTTCCGAAATTCAGCATATCAAAAACACTTGCATCATTGAAACATCCGCAACGGATGTACTACATACATACACACATACATATAATATTAAGAGCCATAAATTTTTGAAACACTTAAAAAAGATTTCGAAATTTATTTGCTTACCTTGCAACACCGCTACTCGACAACCGTCCTGCTTCAAACGGCGATACAAAATATTTATAGCATCCGCTGCGACCACTTCACCAACCCCACCGCCGCCGCTGCCGCACGTCGATGTTGCCGCTGCCCCTGCTGCTGATTGCTCCTGCATGCCAACATCATTATACAATATGAACAGGCTCACTTTATAACCATTTTGTATGCGCTCTTTTAGATCTGCTGATTTAATTGTTGATAGCAAATCAATTTTACCATTCGCCAAACGACGCAGCATAATGCTGGGTATGAAGAAATTAACCGCTGAACGGATACGCGATTCGCTGAATTCATGCGAACTGCGACAATCCAAAAGGATTAACTTTTGTGCGAGCAGCTGGGTGAGCGGATGATGATGACTACTGCTGCTGCTGCTGATGCTGCTGCTGCTGCTATGGCTATGGCTGTGTGAAGAAGCGGATATGGCGCGCAATTCGGCTTGCAAACATTCCTTTGTAATGCACTCGTACTCTGTTTCCGGCATTGTGAATTTTTGTTTGTTGTCGATTTATTTGTATGTGTGAGTGTGTGTGTGTGTTTGAAATTATTTGTGCCTATGCTCTAATTGGAATTTTAAAACTTTCACTAAACGTTTGGCGTTAGAAATGTATTTAGAATATTTCTTTTTTTTTGTTTATTTATTTTAACTATTTCATTTGCTTTTAACTTTTACTTGCTTTTATGAAATTTTATATTTGTACTTGATTATTTGTGTTTAATTATATATGTATGTTTGTATAAATTCTATTTTAATACACGCAAATGATTAATTTGTAAAGCTGCATACACGCTTTTTTTGCCCTTACACGCCGCGCTCTTATTTCGAAACACGTTACTCAGAGACGCGAACCGCTAAAATACTGACACATCGCGTGATCGTCATACGTTTCGTTCACTGCTGAACACTGAATGCCAAGAATTTCGTTTGTGGTTGTCCGATTGCACTTTTTGCTTCCCCTTTCGTGCACTGTCGTTTGTAATTTCTTTTTTTTTCACCTTCTTGTTGCTTGTTGCGCTTGTACGAGCAGTTGTTGTTGTTGTGTTTTTTGTTATTTATTATTATTTTTATTCCTTTAATTGTTAAACTGTTGTGTGCATATAGCCAGAGCTTATGTTTTATTTTTGTAGCCTTTTATCTCACTTAAATTCATCAGCGATTTGTCATTTTCTAATTTCTAAACAAAAAATTATGCACACTCTTGCATTTTGGCTTTTGAATATTTCGCTCGCAATTTATTTAGCACTGACACTTAGATACACACATATGTATGTAGGTATATAATAAACGTACTTGTTGTGTGTATTTATATTTGTAATCGCGTATAAATAGTTGTTGGGCGAACGCACTGCACTGACTTGTCAACAACACTTTGCTGCCAACAACATCATCATTGACAACGCATTCAATTACTCATGCAGCTCATGTAATAATGTAATGGCTAATGGTGAATGCAATAACGAGCAGCGAACTGCGGAAAACTAAACGACGGTGCTGCGCTCACAGTGCCACTCAAACTGTGCGCAATGTGTGTGTGGTTTGTTTTTTTATCTGCTTGGATAAAACTTTGTAATTTTTTTTAATATTTTCTTGTTTTTCTTTTACATTAAATTTTTCACAAGAAATTTTTTTCACCACATTTTTCTATTGTTTTCACGTTTTGCATTTTCTATAAAATTTATTTATTAACTACTGATTTAAGAAGAAGCATAAATTTCATTTTCATTCTGTGTCGTTCATCTTAGTATTTATCACACTCCTACTTTAACTTTGCTTTGGAGATTTACCTTTTTTATTGTGATACTTTTTCTTGTAATGCAACGAAATATGTATGCGTGTACGTATGTATATAAATGTTTGTAATTTTCTTTTTTGTTCAATCAATGCATTTTCTTTCATACAAAATATTTCATTTATCCATAATATTATTGTATTTTCTTTCATTAAATAAATACTAAATTTTTTTTCTTCTTATAATAACTTCAGCGAATTGAATAAGAGAAACACATAAAAATAAAGTAGAAAAGCGACTACAGCGCGCAATACCGATACAAATACGCCTGACGGACAAGTAAATACGACCAGCAACGATGGCTGAAACGTTCCGAATGTGCACAGCGACAAAGCCAATAGCATATGAAACGCCAAGTGGATTCACTCTGCACAGTGGAAATATAAGCAAACAAGAAACAAAAAAAAAAAAACAAAAAACAAAGCAAAAGCAAAAATATATGTACATATGTACAGATCAACTCTCTCGTTCTTCTTCTTATTCTATTTCCTCTTTCGTGAACTCGCTTGCGCTACATACGTTTCCATGTGTTGGTATACATATTTAATCGCAAATTGTATGTAGAGAAATTTCTCTTTTTTTTACCTTTTGCCGTATACATATAGGCGATTTGCACTTGTGTTTTTCAAGCCTAGTGGGAGAGTCAGAGTATGTTGAAGATGAAATGAATGTATGAACATTAATATGCAAGATGTATCTACAAGCTGAGCACTCGCAGCGTGTTGAAGTGGTGAGAGAAGCAGTGTTGAGAGCTTACCGCAATAGTAGCAGAGATCAACACTACTCAGACGTAGTAAATAAAATAGTACTAAATTTACCACTTTGTTCAACCAGAGAGTTCAAATGCAAAAATGTACATGAATGAATGAATACTCGTTTATTAGAAAGCGTACATTAAACATATAATATATTATTATAGTTCCTCTTTGATCAAACATACTGTCTTTTTCTCCAAATTAATGTTATTTACAGGCCTATTCTCAGGTTAAGTTAATTTTGTTAAGTTTTTTAAGGAGCACACCTAGTATGAATAAATAAAAATAACATATTAAAATTTCAAAACGATATCTCAAATAGTTTTTGAGTTATACCAATTTAAAGAGCAGCCACTCGGCAGCTAGAGAGTCTCATTAGCTACGAGTGAAAACGACCATTTTATCTTTAAACGCGTTTTTCTTGAAACAGCATTTTTCGAATTTGCTGCAGTGATTACTCAAAGACAAATCATTCGATCACAATCGAATTTTTTTACATGTTCTATATATAGTTCTCCGTACAATGACCTATCGATTTTTGGCAGGCCAAAAAAGACCAAAATTTGGGGTAAAATTCGATTATTTTTTTTAAAACGCTGCCATATTGTCAATTTTTGATTTTTTTTTATCGCAGGTCATTATACAGACAATATTATTTAGTCGAAAATTTTTTTTTTAGGTATCATCCACGGAGAAGGACGGAATCATTACAGCAGTGAAGGACCTTTTTTCGCGCCGTTGGAGATCGACTATAACTTAAAAAATATTTATTTTTTTTCTACAAAAAATTCACTGTTTGTTCCTGAAACATGTATAAATATATTCTTGAAATTTTGAAAAATTTGATGAAGTATTTTTTTAATATAAATTCCCAAAAATCACTTTTTTTTAGGCCATTACACTAGGTGTGCCCCTTAACACCCGAAACTGAATTTGGTATTCTGGGGTACTGGTAACAATGTTTAAAAAAAAACTTTGGCAACACTGCTTTTTTCGTCCTTGTCAAATTGCCAGTCATTTGTTTACCGCAAACTTCTTAGCATACGCCTTTTTACACTTTTTTCTTCATCTTTAATGAATTCCAAAATTTACAGGATGACAGTGAGCTCAGAATACGAAATAGTAACAAAACTTTCTGAATGATAAGTTTTAATACCATAATTTAATACCTCGACAGAATAGGCCTGTTAATGTAACAATATTTTCTTCTGAAGGAAACTGTGTATGCAGCTTTGCTATCATTGCTCCTCGTTACATGGCTCAGCGTAGCATTTAAACTTATCTACCCCCATTTTCTATCTAGGTGAAAAACTGATATCTCATCGATTCAATTGCTTCGTTGTTCATTGCACTTTTTACATTTGAATTTCGAAACAATGCATGAAGATTTTGATAAAAAGTTTATTGAAATAAGTTTTTAGTTTTGGCTTACGCGTTAAAATCGGATAAAAAATAACGAAAAAAATATAGTTTATAGTGATTTGATAACATTTAAATGAAGATGTTATTAAGCAAAGCGTAACTAACTGTAAAAAGTATCAGCCAACTAATAATTTGTCGATTTTCCTCCTATTGGAATACAGAACACAGAATTCGATAAATAATTAGATTCGCATATAGATTTCGTTCAAATAAATTCGATTATATGTATTATACAACATGATTATGCAATTTCGATCGATTCAGTTCTGATACCGATAAAAATCGAATTTCAAAATATGCTCTGGTATTTTAACTCTATATGAAATCGCTGTATGTATTTAAATAACTTTAATATTGAAAATTTTCAGGTCAAGCTTGGCTAAATCTAATTAGCAAATTATAAACGTTTACTTTACTGATAGACAGAACAACGAATGGCCAGAGAAGTATTCTAAATTTACAGCCAACTCAAGTAAAGTGTTGGGAGCCAAGCTACATTATTTGCCTGAGCCATACTTCCAGCCGACTTCTACTTTTGCATAAGGAAAGCAACAAAACTGCATAGGTGGACTTAATTCAATTTTTGGCGATGAAGCTCAGTGTTCATTGAGGGTATGGTAAATTCAATCGAAGTTGTAGATCAATCCAAAACGAATTTCATGAAAGAGGTTAAAAATCAGTTGATGTACCAGAAACTATAGTCGCAGAACAACCGGATCACTCTCTACTTCACCACACTGAGAGCTCTCGTATATGGACTGAAACAACTGCATTTTTGAGTAATCAAAACATCGATTTGATAAGCTATGCAGAAATTGCCTTGACCTCTTTTTATTGCCCGTACGGAAAGCCGCCAAGCAAGCGAACTGAGGTCTAGATGTTAGAAACCATATAAGGCAATACTTCCACTCACAACAACGTTTCGAATGGAACGCAACCAATAATTGGTACAAAAGCATAAATTACACAAAGACCAATCTAATGGACTTCTTAAAAAAATCAAAAAAAAAATACTACACGACTTGACATTGTTAAACTCGAGCGCCTTAGACTAGGACACACCAAACTAACATATGGACATCTTATGAATAACTCAAACCCTATATACTATACTGGCAGCGCAAATATCATAATCCTCTTCTACTTAGGTGCCCATAGGGAACGTATTTTTTACTAACAAAAATCCGAATTCTTAACACTAAGTCCCCTCAATCGAGGGAATCTGCTTAATAACCAATTTTCACAAAAAAAAATCATATTATTTTTTTAAGATTTAAACGGAATCCATACATAAAATGTAAATATGTATATGTTATAAGTAAATATGTAAATACTCAAATATTGACTTGAGGCCTAGTTGCTTTAGCTGCCAAACAAATAGTTTATAAGATTTATATATGTTGTAAACTATAATTTAAATAAATAAAATAAATATGTACATACGAGTATATATAGTTAAACCCCAAATTAATAATAAACTATATATTTTACTAAAATACTACTCTTTTTGCACTTATCTACTACGAAATTTAAGTAACTTTCACTGCACACTGGAGAGAATTGTGTTTTGAACGGTTTTTTTTTGTGTTGGCATGTGGGAGCGAAAAAAGGTGTCGCTTTCATAATGAAGAGCGTACGTTGAGTGGAAGGAAAAAACGAGAAATATTTCTCCAAATGTGTTTTCTAAATAAACTAATGTAGAGATTGTTTAAATGAATTTACAGTGTAAGAGATGCTGTAAAAGGAAGTGAAATTGTTTTTGTTTTTTACATACTTTTATGCGTTAAGTTTGAGTAGTATATACACATAGTCATCTAGGTATGATTTTTTTATGTATGTAAATGTATACATAAATGTATGTGCATATGTATTTGTGGATATATGGAGGTCTTGAATTGAAGATTGAAGGGTTAGTCGGGAGGAATCAGAAAATTAATGTAATATTTTTACAAATTTATATATTTATATATCAGGTATACATATATGTATTTAGAAAAACATACATAAATTATACATACTCGTATACAAATAAAGAAAATCTACGATTGCGAATTTTGATTCAATTTTTTTTGCAAATCTTACAACTAACTGTTGTTATAGATTAAATAAATAAATAAATAAATAATTATATTACACATTACATAAATACATACATATATATGTATACATTCTTACATATAACACACCCAAGTTTCAATTTACTTCTGCTCTTAACCACCCACAATTTATACATATGTACATATGTACAATACTTAAATATTGAGTAGAATATATTTAATGATATTCAGTTTGCGCCGCTGCATACATACATACATACATATGTACATATCTACATAATAGGTTCATTGATATTTCCACGCCTTGAAATGCAGTTTGATTCATTGAAATTTCCTGCAAAACTGTTGATATACATATACACACGCACACACACATACATATGGATGTACAATTCTTTTTACCTACATACATTCATACATACATACATACATATATGCAAAATATTGTATATGAGGCTGTTGTGTGGATACTAAGCAAGTAGTTGAGGCAGTACGAAATGAGACAAAACAACAAATTTCCAACCCAAAAATACTCAGTTCGCTCTTGCTATCTGAATCTCACGCATAATTTGCGATAT